CCCCCCCCCCCCCCCCCCCCCCCCCCCCCCCCCCCCCCCCCCCGCCCGCCCCCCCCCCCCTGCCCCGCCCCCCCCCCGGCGCGCCCCCCACACCAACCACCCCCCCCCCCCCCCCCCCCCCCCCCCCCCCCCCCCCCCCCCCTCTCCCCCCTTCGCTCCTCCCCCCCCACCACCACCTCCCCCCCCCCCCTCCCCCTCTTCCCTCCATACCATCCCCCCTCGTCTCCCCCCGCCCACCCCTCCCACTCCTCACCCCCCCACCCACCACCCCGCCCCCCCCTACCCCTCCCACTCCTTCCCCCCCCCATGTCCCCCCCCCCCCCCCCCCCCCCCCCCCCCCCCCCCCCCGGCCTATCCCCGTCCGGGGAACGCGCGCCACGAAGGTGCTCAAGCCGACGCCCACCTAATCCGGCTTGCGCCTCGTCTCGCTGAAAAGAGGCGCCAAGACGTGCCCCCGGCCGGGGCGCGCCCCTGCCGAGAGTCGGCGCAGTTGCCCGGGCGCGGCGCCCGGCGTCTGCCCCCGATGCTCGGCTAGGGGTCGGGCTGGAGGCCCGGGGGGCGGGGGGGGGGGGGAGGAGGAGCCGAGCGTGCCCATGCCGCCGGCACCCCGTCCCCCCTGGGTCCCGAGCGTGCTTCTGTTTGTGTGTGTTTGTCCGGTCCAGCGAACATCCCGCCCCCCCGGCCCCCTCCCGCCAGCCCCAGGAACGGGCGGCGGAGGAGGGCACAGAGCACGGGGGGCGCCTGGGGGCGCGCGCGCGCGGCCACCGCCGGTATGCCTGGCCCTGGCGCCAGCTCCCCAAGCCGGCCAGAGTCAGCTGAAGGGACAGCCAGGCCCGCCCTCGCGCCCCCCCGCCCCTCCCACCTCCCCCCGGGCCCATCGCCTCCGTGGCCGCGGCCGCCGCCTCCCCCTCCCGCCTTTCTCCTTTCGGTCACCCCGCCCGCACATCGGCCTCCCCCGGCGGGGGAATGATCGGCCGCAATATCTGGTGGGCGCCTTTTGGGCCGCCGCGGCCGCCGCCTGGTCCGGGGTCTGCCGCGGTCCCCTGGCCGACAAATGCGCAGAACGACCGGCACCCTCGCAGCGCCGTCCGCATCCACGCCGATCCGCGCGCGCTCACGTACACACAGACACACACACACACACACAGACACACGTACGCCGGCCACCGGAGCCTACATGGCAACAGACCGCGCGGGGGAATCCCCCAGGCTCATGTGTCCGGCGATGCCCGGGCTCCTGGGGGGGGCGGGGGAGGGGGAGCGCGATCGCTGCGAGGGGCATTCAATCTGCGAAGATTGGCTTGGTCAACACTTTCGGCACTTCGCGCCGTGGCCACCCACGCTCGTGCCGTGGCCGGGGCCCGCCGCCACCGCCGCCGCCAAATGGCGCCCGCCGCGGGCGTCCACTTGGTTGCGTCGGCGCGATGCGCGGCCCCGGGGCCACGGCCCTCCCACATGGCGCCCCTGCCGGGGCATGCACATCTCCGGGTCGGCGCGCGCACGCGCACACATACACACTCATATGTGTCTGTGTGTGTGTGTGTGTGTGCGTGCGTGTGTGGCTGCATGGTTGCATGGGTGCGTAGCAGTGTGGCTACACAAGGCCGTGCGCAGACACGAGGACGACCGAGGGAGGAGCAGGGGGAGGGGGCCGGCGGCCGGCCGCGAGGGGCGAGACCACACCGTCGACCGGCCAGCATGCACCGCCATCCCGCCGGAGGAGGGCGCGGGACAGAGGGAGAGAGAGAGAGCGCGCGCGCGCGCACGAGGGCGACATGGCACGCGCGTGTGGCCCGGCGCTGGCGGCATTTGAACATTAGCAACGGCCGGGGAAATGCCTCAGCGCTGGCCGACCCCGGCCTGGCCCTCTCGCGGACCGAGGGCCTAGCCAACCGGCCGGGCGGCCGTAGCCCAGGCCGCCCTCCGGACAGATGACCGCACCCAAGGCGGGGCCAGGTGTGCGTACGTGCGTGCGTGCGTGCGTGCGTGCGTGCGTGCTTATATGTGTGTGTGTGTGCACTTGCGGGTGCTCGTGGCTGGCGCGCGCGCGCGCGCGCGCGCAAATCCCCGGCGAATGCCCGCCCGCCGAAAAGAGCGGCCCTGCCCGGCAAACACATGCACATCGTCCGTCCGGCGACGGTCCGCCTGCTCCGGGCGAGCACAAACAATACACTGCCGGCTTTGGCCCGGGAGAAGGAGGGGACGCCGCCGCTCCCCCCTCGCCCGTCCGGTACAATCACACACACACACACACCACACACGGGCGCGCGGTCCAACCGCGCGCCCGTGTGTGGGGCCGCCAGCGGAGGGTGAAACACTTGCCGATCAGCCAACACCCAGGGGGGCCGACAATGGGAACCACCGCCCGCACGCCCACCGCACCCTGCTCGGGGTGCGGTGCAGCGCCGTCGCCTCCCCCGGGACAGGGAGGCGAAGCAATGACGCGAGGCTCGGGCAGCCGTGGGCCCAGACCCTTTCGTCTGGCGGGCGCACATACACAAATATACACACGCACACAGGGACACACACACACACACACACACACGCACGCGCGCGCCGGTGGCGAGGGACGGGGCTCGGGGGAGCCCGCCCGACGCCGGGCCACACTCGCCCCACGCGCGTATGCTTATTCTGGTTTCCCCTTTGCGTTGGTAGGTGCACTGGCCGAGGGAGGCCACACCCCCGGGCCGCCGCCGGGCAGGCCCCATTAGCAGTCCCATATCAGGGGACTCGTTATTTCCTCCGCCTCGCGACGGTCCTCGGTCCCCGCCGCCTGCGGGCTCGCATGCCCGCGTGCCGGTCGGCCGGCCAGCCGCCCGGGCACGCGTGCGCCGGCCACAACATTTCGTCTCATGACTCATCTTCAATGCCGCGGCATGTACGCACGCCTTGCTGGGCCTCGCCCCCCGCCCTCTGGCCAGGTCTGCGGCCCGGCGGGCGAGGCAGGGAGAGGCAGGCGGAGGGGGGGGCGGGGGGGGGGCATGGAATTGCGCCGGGGATTTCGTCTACCCGCCGTAGGCGCGCAATGGCCCTCGGTCGCGCGGGACATGGGTAGTAAGAGACCCCGCCAAGCACGCGATTCGGGGTGTCGCTCCGGGGGGCCTCCTGCCGCTCCGGTTTCAGAAGGGCAGCACGGTCGGTCTCACAGGGCCACATATACACACACACACACACGCACACAGGCATGCTGCCACTCCCCTGCCAGGCGTGTGGCAACACTGGCGGGTCCCCCCCCCCCTGGCAGCCGGGGACGCCTGTGCCGTGTGCACAGAGCACCTTGGGGCCAGGAGGGCAGGAGACACTCTACAAGAGGCCCCGCCCGCCGCCCTCCGGCCCCTCACAGGGACCCTGCTGAGGGGGAGTGTGAGGGCCACAGGCCAGAGACACCCCCGGCGCCGCGCCGTGTTACCCCCCGAGAATCCCCGACGGGCGGGGAGCTACTTCAATTATATAAAAGACCAAGGCCGAGGAGGAGGATGAGGAGGAGGAGGAAGAGGGGAAGGAGGAGAGGGAGGAGGAGGAGGAGGGGAAGGAGGAGGAGGAGGGGAAGGAGGAGGAGGAGGGGAAGGAGGAGGAAGAGGGGAAGGAAGAGGAGGAGGGGAAGGAGGAGGGGAGGGAGGAGAGGGAGGAGGAACGGCTGTCTGTCCCTCGACAGGGAGGGCTCCACAGAAGGGTGGTCCCACAAGAGGCCCCCCCCCCCCCCACCCGTGGCCGGAGTCCTGGCTACAACCTGGGCGGAGGGCGAGAGCAGGGGCGAGCGCTGGACCGAGCCCGTCGTTCACCACCGCCGGGGCCGGGGAAATGCGACAGTCATCCGTGGATGTATTTTTGTGCGTGCGTGTGTATGTGTGTGTATACGCCCGTCCGAACGTGTGCCACCCCACAATGCCACACACCTGCGGCCAAAGACACCTGCTGTCAGCACATTGCCACCGCGGCGGCTCCCCCCAGGCACACCGCGCCGGTGTTCGCCCTGCTCGGCCACGTGTTAACTCACCGAGAGATAAACTGAGATGGGCCTCTGAGGGCTGTTGGCCCAGAACCCATGGATCCCAGAACGACGGCTATCCCGGTGGTAGCCCTTGGCGCTCAGCGGGGCCGCCCGACCCCCCCCCCCCCCCCCCGGGAAGAGACAGAAGGGAGGGTGAAAGGCACAGGGCAACAAATTCCGTCGGCAAAGCGCCTTGCGCACGGGGCGGAAAAGGGGACGTGGTGTATTTCAAGTGTCGCTCCCTTTCAGGGGGGGGGAGGGGGCAGGGGCGTGTATACAGCGGAGTGGGGCACAGGGGGGGGGGCCGGGGAAGAGATGAGGCCCCTCCTCTCCATACCATGTTGGCTGGTCTTCTTTCGGTGCGTGTGTGCGTGTGCGCTGTGCTGTGGAAAATGTATAGATGTCGGGACATGCTGCGCTGTGGCTCACTCTCTTTCTCTCGGTCCCCCGCTCTCTCGCCTCACCCATCCAGAAAGGCGATGCATTCTTTTGTCCCGTCCTCTTGGCGCTTCCGCCCCGCGCAAGGGCATGGGATGTACCCCCCCCCCCCGCCCTCCAAGAGGAAGGAGAAAGGGGAGCGGAGGGAGCTGGGGGGGAGGAAGACGCGCGTGCAGGGCACACAACGGGGGACACTCTAAAAATCCGAAGGCACCGCCCTGTGATGGGCAACAAAAAAAAGAACCGAGAGGGGCGCAGCGGAAGCGCACGCGCAGCAAGGAGAGGGAGAGAGAGAAAGAGAGAGGGAAAGCCGCGCACACGCACACACACACCCAGATGCAGGAGGACAGAGGGCGGTACACAGAGTCACACACCCATCCCCCGGCCTCCCCAGTGTTACCACCACCACCGCCGCCGCCGCCGCCGCCGTGCGCGCGCGCAGGGACATATGCCCCCCCCCCCGCCCCCTCCCCCGCCCGACGACATCAGCCACCGCGGTGGCGCGTGATGAAACGACGGAAGAGTTGACGGAACTGCCGCGGGTCCTGGTTCATGGCGGCGTTGACATAGTCGGCCGCCACGTCGGCCGGCAGGCCGATGCTCGGCAGGTACTGCCCGGTCAGGAAGGACGTGCAGGACACCCCCAGCGTCTGGATGAGGCGCTGCTGCAGCAGCGTCAGATCATTCAACACCGCCAGCGAGCTGGCATTCGACACGTCAAATGTCGGCGCCAGGGGGATGGAGAACACCAACGGCTGGACCTCATTCAGGGCAAAGGGCAGGAAGTCCGGCAGACGCAGGCGGCTGATGTTCACCGGCTCCGTCGGCGGCGGGGGGAGGGCCTGCTCCGGCGGCGGGGCCCCCGGGCCGCCCGGCAACGGGGTCTGCCCGTCCCCCGGCTGCAGCCAGGCCACCGCCATGCGCGACAGGACCCCGAGGGCCGCCCGCTGGATGGCCGGCTCCAGGCACCGCGCGGCCAGCAGCGTCACGCTGGCCAGGATGGTCGGCAGCACCGGCAAATTGACCTCCGACACCAGGATATGCTCCATGCGCTCCTGGAAGATGGCATTCAGGAAGGCCAGGTACGCCCGGCGGATGTCATTCAGCCGCTGGAGCTCCTCCGTGTTGACCGTGGCACCGACCGCCGCCGCGGCCGCCACACTGGAGGAGGCCGTGCCGCCGGCCGTGCCGCCCTTGAAGCCAGGCGCATGGGCCCCGGCCGCCGCGGCCGCCGGCTGCTGCGGCTGGCTCGCCCCCCCGGGCGGAGCCCCGGCGGTGGTGGCCCCGGCGGCCCCGGCACCGCCCGGGCCGCCCCCGGCTCCCCCGGCTCCGGGCTTCGGGCTGCCAGCCGCCAGCTCGATCAGGCCGAGCTCCTGTCGCGCGAAGGGCAAAATCTGTGCCACCACCGCCGGGAACAGCCCGGCCAGGGTCGGCAGGAAAGCCTCCCGATAGCGGAAGGTCAGCTGCGCCAGGACCGGCAGGAATTCCGCCAGCGCAAAGGCACTCGCATGCCGCAGCAGGCGCTCCAGTGCCCCCGGCACCAGGGCCATCAGATCGCACGTGGCACACCCGACAAGACGCTGGAACAGCTGCCGCACCGCGTCCCGCATCGGGGCCTCTACCGCCACCAGCCACGCCGTGCCCGGGGCATTGCCCGCGGCCGCCAGCTCCTTCTGATATGCATCCAGGGCGTCCAGCACGGCCAGCGCCGCCTGCAGGCAGTCACGCAGGGCCGGCTCCCAGCTGGCTGCCGAGTGACCGCCCCCGGCCCCGGCCGCCGGCTGCTGGGCCGATGGGAAGCCCTTGACCAAGTGCGAGATGGCCGTCACGGCCATGTGAAGCAGCGCCAGATGCCGCGGCTCGGTGGCCGCCCGGCCGGGCGGCGCCTCCCGGTACCGGCCCTCCTGCAGGATGGCACTCATCTGCGTCAGCAGCGGCTGCACCACGGTCACCGTGTATTGCCCGGCCAGCTCGGCCGGCGCAAAGGACCGGTTCCCCAGCAGCAGCCCCACCACCTCGAACAGGTGCAGCTGATCATCGAACTGGGAGAAGTGCTGCCCGGCGGCCGCCACGGCTCCGGACCCCGGCTCGGCCGGCACCCCGGCCTTGGCCGGCCCGGAGTCCCGGTCTTGCAGGAGCTGCTGCCAGGCCGCCGCATTGGCCGGCACCGCCTGGAAGATGGCACTGGTGGCCAGGGTCGGCTCCGGCAGGGCCAGCAGCTCCTGGATGCCGCTCAGCAGGGCATTCGTGTGGGGGGTCAGTTGCGACAGCAGTGTGCGAACGAAGCGCGCCAGCAGGTAGGTGGTACGCCGGCGGACGTAGGGGTCATGATGACGCAGGCCACTGGGGGGGAGGCGGGGGGACCGTTGTGCGTGCGCCATCGAATCGAAAGCAGGCCAGGCGGGGAGAGGGGG